CCTATATCAAGACACGGATTAGTGGCGAGGCAGCTGAACACATGTACCCTTTCTTAGAATCGGAGGAGGACGACGTAACCTCAATAAGGCTAATGAGATTCCTAGACCAGATCTATAAGGACCCAAACAGGCGACTAAAAGCTAGAGACGAACTAAAGGAGTTGAGGTAAGGCTACCTAGCGGACTTTCCGAAGTTCCAGTCTACGTTCATCCGGCTGGCTAATGAAGCCAGGTTATCACGCGACTAGTGGAAAGAGGAACTCCACGATAGACTCTACGACAGTCTAAGGCTAACAATGGCGGAAGCCGTGGGTAACGACGAAATTAGCTTCCAGAAGTACTGCAGTAAAGCCACGACGTAGGCACGAGAGCTAGAAAGGTTAGGCAAAGCTAGTAAGGCCCGTAGAGAGAGTTAGAAGCGTGGTAAACCGACTAGAACAACTTCCACCTTAATAACGACGAATAGAACTTTATACCGATTAGGGAGCGGAGGAACCACCTCACCTATAACACCACAAGTGACGGAGTAGACCATAACTGTTCGGAAGTTTACGGGTAACTGCTTCAACTGCGGCAAGGCCGGACATAGAGCGTTAGAATGCCGGGGACCAAAGAAGACAACCGAAGTAAAGTCGGTCCAGAAAGACGAGCATCAGAGCTCAAAGTCAGATTTAGGGTTAGATTCGGAAAACGAGAAACCCTGAGTAGAGACTCCGCATCAGGGCTAATAGTAGGAGCATTAGCAACACCGATCAGCGATCCGGTATTAGAAAAGCCATTCACGATACCGTGCCGAATCTCGAAGAACGGAATCGCAATACAGCTTAGGGCCCTAATCGACACTGGAGCTTAAGGGTATACCCTACTGAATAAGAGATGGCTACCCGCTCTAAAACAACGCCTCGGAATCGAAGTTAGAAAGATGGACCAGGAGATCGAAGTTAATGCCTTCAATAATTCGAAGGTAGCACCAATTAACCAAGTACTCGAGGCGAGCCTCGTGATTGGAGGACGAAGGTGGCCAACACCGATCATAGTGACGGATACGGGCCACAATAACATACTTATAGGCAAGGAGTGGTTCTCCAAGACTAGTGGCCTACCTGATTGCAGGCACCATCGGATTGTTTGGCCGGAATGGGCTACTGCAGTTGAAGATCAGCAACGAGACATCGTGATTCCGAAGAGCGAGCTGCGAACCCAAACTGACCCACAGCACCAATTCGACATGGAACGACGAGACAAAGCCATCGATGAACGAGAACGCAACCGACAGAAAGCATTAGTTAACCAGAGGAGGAAACCGCAACTATTCCAATGGAAGCAACCGAGTTCATGGGCTAAGAACGTCGGCTCCGATCTCCGAAAGATGAAATCAGAACTATCGGACCTAACGGAGAGGGAGACGCCGGAACTCTCTGAAAAGCCGAAGCCGAAGCCGAGTAAGCGGGTCAATGTTGCCGGGATCTGTATGAATATCTGCTTGGTTAGCGGAGAAAACTACCTAAGGAACGCAAAGCGTAAAGACGTCGT